GCCGCCGATCCCCCTTTTATAGCGGGGGAAGCCTCACGCACCCCACGGAGAGGAGGAGGAGGACGGAGGAGAGAGGAGTGGGCTGCAGCGCCGCCTGCAGGCCGGCCGGGGGGGCCCCGGGCCGCGGAGGAGAGAGAGGTACAAACACATGGCTACTGTTCATGGTATTCCAAATTATAATACAACAACAACAACGCCTTTAGTGGTAGTGTGTTGTTATTTCTTCATTTTGGGTCCTCAGATTAAAATACAAGCGGCTACTGATTGAAAACAAAATGCAACTGTAAGGTCAAATCACTGAACGTACAAAATATGGAGTGGAAACACGGTGAAGCCCGGGAGGCAGGATGTGGCCTGGTCCTGTCCTGGGGAGGAGCTGGACGCTGTGCTGATCAAAGTCCTTTGACTGAATCGTTCATTTTTATTCACGTTTTGTCACTTTTTGCAAATAGTCTCCGTCAGGTGATTCCAGTAACCTCCTGATCACAAATAACTACACAGTAATAATCACACACACACACCATCCACAGAGTATGTTGGTAACCTCCTGATCACAAATAACTACACAGTAATAATCACACACACACACCATCCACAGGGTATGTTGTTGTTGTTGTGTGCGTGTATCAGTGTGTGGCGTTGCTTCTACTGTACATCCTCTATAAATAAAAGACGCGGCCCTGCGAGCTGTTAAGCAGGATGTACAGTATAGGCCTCGCTTTGTTTCATAATAAAAACATATAATTTACTTAAGGCCCAGAATCACTTGAGTTGATCTGTGAGAGTTTGGCTGAACAGGAACATCACACACATCCTCACGTTCCCTCCGTAGGCCTACAACTCCAGCTTTATTATTTATTATTACTGGTGAGAAAATTAATGGAATGAACCAGAGGGACACGGTGACAACAGCGAACACAAGTTCAAACATGAAAGAAACAAATAAAAGTGCGTGTTCACAGGAAGCGTAAAGGCGGGTCTAAGGACAGCCCTGTGCGTTCAGGTCGGCTGCACGTGGCGCTTAGTACTTTTCCTAGTTGTCATGTTACTTTCAAACTAAAAGCTCAGTGACACAGACCGAGTCTGAGTAAGAAGGTCTCAGATCTGAGACGCTGCACTTTTCTCTCTTCACACACTGTGTTTGAGTTCCCTGTTCACCTGGGCATCCTCAGTCAGACCTGGACGGCCAAGGCAGCCTGTGGCCACCTGGGGGCCCGCTGGACGGTACCAAGGCTGGGGACGCTGGGAAGTTTAGCGTCTTCAAAAATACGTTTTAGTGAAATTTGATGTTCAAGATTTAACTAAGAATAGAATAGAACAGAATGGAATGGCTTTGTCATTGCACAAATTTACAACAAAATTTAATTTGCAACCCCTTTGTGGTTAAAACCAATTAAAAGTAAGAGCAAATGAAATACAAACTAATTGATTACATATTAATTAATAGAATTAGAACTAACTTAGTTATACTGTAGGCCTATTTAGTTCGACTACACCATGGTCGCGTCTGGGGTCAGGTGACCCTCACCTAAGCCTTTATTGAGAAATTTTATTTATGTTAGAAACCAGTTTCTGTTGGTTCTATATTATTAACGTTTTATCAAAACAGCACATAAATGGATGGGTACTCAAACCTATACAGTAAAGATGAAAACGTGCCATAAAAGCGGTGAAAAGCTGTTTATTTTGAAGCAGTCAGAGGAAGCCCGGGGTTTTCTCTCAGCCTTTACAGGCGGAGCAGGGACAATAAATGCGGAAGTTTGTCAGAAGTCACTTTATCAGCGGAAGAACAAAGCAGCGGTTTGTTGCATTTCGTATCTGGAAACCCGACTTTCCCGCTGTCTGACAGACTGAACGGTGAGTTTGTTTCCCAGACATTCGCCTCGTGTTGCCGTCTTACTCTAAGTTCACACCGCTCAACCCACAGCTTCCTGTGGGTTGAGCAGGTTTCAGGCCACCGAAGTTGGTACCAAGCCCCAGGACGTGTTTTCTGTTTACTTCAGTGGAAAAACGCCAAACTCCGTTTAAAAGTATCTCAAGTTGCGTTGTAAAGTAATTTCTCTGGTATAGCGACACTTCATCCGGAAATACTGGGTTAAATCTTTCATATATAATAAAATATCCGGTTTTTACTTTGGCATAAAGCCACACACACCCAGCAGCAGCTCCAGCTTTGACCAGTTACTGTGCGTGGTTTTCCCCATGAACATGTTGAGTAAACAAACAGGAGATCTCTGTCAAATAACTGGCGCTATCTTAGATAAAGTATATGCCGAAATTACTAGAACCTATCCCTGCTTACAATAAAGTGTTAAGTCATATTCTGGGTTTTTATATATTTGTTTATAAGCAATAAATTATTAAATAAGTATATTTTTAAATGCTGTATGGTCTTGCGATGTTGCATTAGATGACAAAAGGTTTTAGGTCGACTTGGTGAAAGATGACGTAGTAGCTGCAAGTCCGTTGTATTATCAGCATAAATTAATCTTCTGGCTGTTGGTGTGTGTGTGTGTGTGTGTGCACCTGGTGTTATGCACCTGCACACACACCTGCTTAGTTTCACTTTCACTAAATGTCACCCAGCCATAAAAACAAATATATGGGCTACATGTGTAAATGAAAACGCATCTGTAGAGAAGCAGCATCACAGACCTCTGTGTACCAGTCACAGTGGTGGTGAAGCTCTGGATCCTGTTGTTATCTGGAACTGTTTCCAGGTTTACTGAGGGAAAGCTCAGTTCTCCCTGCAGACACAAGTGAACCGTGTCACTGCAGTGTCTTGAGATGTTACAGCAGCGCAGAGCTACTGCTTTGTGTGCCTTAAAGTATTGTGTTTTAATGGCACAACATGACAAAAATGTTTGTCATAACAACAAAATTTCCTCATTAATGAGGGAGTGTGTGTTTTTATGCCAAGATGAGATTTAAAGTCATCAAAATGGCTTCAGTGTCATGATGCTCTTCTCAGCGAGTGACTGCGCAGTGGTTTGTCACTGAGAAGAGCACACATTTCATATCATGGTAGATTGTAACACAGCTGCACTTAGGATTTAGTGCTGAACCAAGTTCGTTCTTTCTGTGTTTGCTTGTAAGCAAATAATTTGAATGTTTGAAAATTGTGAAACTTCAGTTCCACCCACTAGTCTGGAGCTTTCAGCCACACCTCATGATCTTCTTCAACAGCTGGAGTTTACTCAGTTGTCATCACTGGGCCCTACTGTTACCGAGCAGTTGCCTGCTGTGAAGCACTGTGGCTGAAAGCTCTGGAAAAGGGTAGTAAGTGGCACTTGAGTAAATTATTTCAGAAACGTCTGTTAAGGTGGAGACTGACGTTTCTGAAATGCAGTGTGGTGTTCTGTAAAACGGATCCTGTTATTGTCCATGAGAGTTGCATGTGTGAGCTGCACCTTCAGAGTCAGTGCTGCTGCTTCCTGCACAGATGAATGAAATGGTTATTGTCCTCAGGACAAAGACGTGATGGTATCTTTCTTTCTATGCAGAAACCCTGAGAGTGTGTGAAGGGCTATGGGGGAGACTAAAGGGTTTGTTCTTCTAACAGCCTGATTGCTTGTTGACATAAGGAGATTATCCTTTTATAACAAGGCACTCCCTGTGAACCATCTCTGTGTCTCAGCTCCATCATGGCCACATCTGGAGTTTACTCCCCGACAACGGCTCCGAACCCCAAATCCTCCTGGTGCCTGGTTCCTTCGGATCATCTGGACAAAACCCGCTTTGCAGTCAAACTGATAGAAGTGGTGAGTTTAGTCCTGTTTCTGGGACCTGGGAGCTCTGCTGGCCCACGTCTCTCTCATTCCTCATGTATTCACCATAAGCAGGTTGAAAGAATCACTCCAACAGCTGCAGTCACCTTCTCGTGTCGCTCTGCAGGTGTTGGTCTTAAAATGCACTGAATGTTGCTTTGTTATGAACCTGTGACACAGATTGGACAGGAAAATTAAATTAATTATGATTATTTGTTTTTAAATTGGTTAGTCAGTCTATCAGTTTTCCGTCTCTCCTCTGAGTCCAGGCGATCGTGAGTCAACAGGGCCCCTGCACCCAGCCACTAACCTAAAGGTGCCCCAGCCCCTCTCTTTGTGGTGGTTCCATGTCTCTTAGTGGTTTATGCCTCTTTGTCTTTGTTTTGTAGTGCGTTCTCTTCTCTTTGTGTTTGTTTTGTGCCTCTTTGTGGTGGTTTTGAGTCTCCTTGTGTCTGTTTTACGTCTGTTTTTCTGTTAATAGAGCTTGGTGAACAGGCAATACAAGGCTCTGGCCCAGGGGCCCTGGACCTGTCCAGTAAGCATCACTAGGAGATTTTTTTTCTGTACCGCTGGGACGTCCTGATGTCAGTGTGATATATATATGATTAGTAACTGCAGACCTTAGTGTTTGTGTACCACATTCTTCAGTCAGTCGCTCGGACGCAGCTCTGTGTGGCACTGAAGGCCTTACACGTTTGCTGAACGGTGCAGAAACCCTGTGTGATTTGATCTGAATCTAACCTCAGGTCATGATGGTCTGAACAGGGTGAAGAATTTAGAGCATTTCATTTTCTTGTGAACACGTGTGACCATCTGTGGCTGGCGGCCGATGCTGTTTTTGTAACTTGCCACCCTGGCTTCCGTGTGCCCATGACAACCACAGAAACCTCGCTGCTGGGGCTGATTTCACTGGACTGAGTTCCCTGAAGAACACACCCGTTCACCTGCAGACAACACAGCAGTGACTGTCTCTGTCTTAGCGTCTGTGAGCAGCCTTCTCAGGCGAGAGCTCTGGTGCCATGACACAGGTAGAGTTCAGGTTTGAGAAAGAGCGGTGGCGTCAGGTCAGTGCTCACTGTGTTTCCATCCTCCTGTTCAGACCTGAGTGCAGACGTGGGAAATTCAGGGAAAAAGACCAAATCTGTGTAGAAAGTGTCTAGTGTCGTGTGAGATGTGGACAAAATGACTCATCAGGAAAATAATTAGCAGATAAATCGATAATGAAAATGATTGTCAGTGTAACAGCAGATGGCTGTCTCTGTTTATTAGGAACAGTCAGTCTGGTCGACCGATCCTGTGGTGATGTTCAGTTTGTGTCCAGACTGTTCCACAGAGGTGCTGGCTCACCTGTGTGGTCACTGTGGAGGCTGCAGGTTGTGCTGCTGTTCAGCTGCACTGGGTTGCACTGAGAGCTGGTTCTGGCGTTCAGCCTCACTGAAATAAATGTGGGTGGAGTGTTGAATGTAAGCGACTGGTCTGTGATCAACGGGTTTATACACAACACGGGCAGGCTGCTCTGGTGAGCGAGATGAGGGTTAGTTGTGCTCTCTCGAGCATCCACAGTCGGTCATTTCGACTGAAATAAAGCCCTGATCTGACTGAGTCAGAAAGTTGTTGGCTCTCCCTCCCTCCAGGCTGCTAACAAGATGCAAGCTTGGCTTAGTTTGGTTTTTGGTTTGCCATATGTCGCACAGTGCGTAACCAGAGAGGAAGCAGTTTGTAGAGAAAACTGTCTTATTTATTTATACATGTGCTTCTACTGATAAAACAAGTTTGTAGCTTGGAAAAGCAAACTGAACTGAGAAGCTTCTTCTGTGTTTTAGTTTAAAGAAAGTTTACCCAGGATGCACAATAGATCGGTCCAAAGTGAATGCAATCAAGCGTGTTCGATAACTTGCCAAAAGTCTTTTACAGCGCTTGGAGGAATTTTGGCCCACTCATCTTTGCAGAATTGTTGTAAGTCAGCCACATTGGAGGGTTTTCGGGCATGAACTGCCTTTTTAAGGTCATGCCACAGCATCTCAATTGGATTCAGGTCAGGACTTTGACTAGGCCACTCCAAAGTCTTCATTTTGTTTTTCTTCAGCCATTCAGAAGTGGACTTGCTGGTGTGCTTTGGATCATTGTCCTGCTGCAGAACCCAAGTTCGCTTCAGCTTGAGATCACAAACGGATGGCCGGACATTCTCCTCCAGGATATTTTGGTACACAGCAGAATTCAGGGTTCCATTTATCACAGCAGATGGCCGGACATTCTCCTTCAGGATATTTTGGTACACAGCAGAATTCATGGTTCCACTTATCACAGCATGTCTTCCAGGGCCTGAAGCAGCAAAACAGCCCCAGACCATCCCACTACCACCACCATATTTTACTGTTGGTATGATGTTCTTTTTCTGAAATGCGGTGTTACTTTTACGCCACACATAATGGGACACACACCTTCCAAAAAGTTCAACTTTTGTCTCGTCTGTCCACAGAGTATTATCCCAAAAGTCTTGGGGATCATCAAGATGTTTTCTGGCAAAACTGAGACGAGCCTTTATGTTCTTTTTGCTCAGCAGTGGTTTTCGTCTTGGAACTCTGCCATGCAAACCATTTTTGCCCAGTCTCTTTCTTATGGTGGAGTCATGAACACTCAGCTTAACTGAGGCAAGTGAGGCCTGCAGTTCTTTGGATGTTGTTGTGGGGTCTTTTGTGACCTCTTGGATGAGTTGTCGCTGCGCTCTTGGGGTAATTTTGGTCGGCTGGCCACTCCTGGGAAGGTTCTCCACTGTTCCATGTTTTCGCCATTTGTGGATAATGGCTCTCACTGTGGTTCGCTGCAGTCCCCAAGCTTTAGAAATGGCTTTATAACCTTTTCCGGACTGATAGAGCTCCATTATTCTCTTTCTCATTTGTTTTTGAATTTCTTTGGATCTCGGCATGATGTCTAGCTTTTGAGGATCTTTTGGTCTACTTCACTTTGTCAGGCAGGTCCTATTTAAGTGATTTCTTGATTGCGAACAGGTGTGGCAAGAGAAATTGAACTCAGGTGCGATAAACCAGTGTTTTGACAGGGGGGCAAACACTTGTTCACACAGGGCTCTATAGTTTTGGATTTTGTTTTCCCTTAATAATAAAAACCTTCATTTAAAAACTGCATGATGTGTTTACTTGTGTTATCTTTGACTAATATATAAATTTGTTTGACGATCTGAAACATTACAGTGTGACAAACATGCAAAAAGATAAGAAATCAGTAAGGGGGCAAACACTTTTTCACACCACTGTATGTCGCACAGTGTGTAACCAGAGAGGAAGCAGTTTGTAGAGAAAACTGTCTTATTTATTTATACATGTGCTTCTACTGATAAAACAAGTTTGTAGCTTGGAAAAGCAAACTGAACTGAGAAGCTTCTTCTGTGTTTTAGTTTAAAGAAAGTTTACCCAGGATGCACGACAGATCGGTCCAAAGGGAGTCAGTCAGTGCACTGTTTAGTGCATCGAAGACAGAGTCTGGTCCTGAACACAGTCAGCAAACCTCACCTGCATTTGGACTGTTTGAGTGTGTATCAGCTCCAATGTTATTTACACAACCACACTCCAGAGACACGTGACCAACAGTGGCGTCACCTGCATCAGGCTTATTCACTGAAACAGGAAGTGAAACTGCTCTGTGGTGTTCTCCCGACAGGTTAACCTGGCCTGGTTTGGGCCAGGTGTACCTAATAAACTGGTCATTAAGTGTAGGCTGCCAGTACATTTAGTGTCTTGGTTGGTGTTTTATCAGTGTCGTAGAAGTGCTGGTGGAGCACAGATGCTGGAGCAACTTCAATGTAACCGTAGAAGCCTCTGTCTCAGTCCTCAGCCAAATACTCGTCCCCCGTTCGGAGGGTCCGGATGGAGCTGCGGCAGTTACTCGCTGATCAGTCAGCCCACTGACAAACAATTAATCAATAATTGTTTTGATAATCGAACAGATGTTGAAGTGTGTTTGAATCAAAAACACCAGACATGGAGTGGTCGGTTTCTAATGTGCTAGGGTTTACTGCTGCACTGTTGTTTTCTGTGACTGTTTCTTTGTGATTTGATGCGATGGGCAGGTTTCACCGTTCCCAGACCAAACTTAAATAATCTGCAGCTCAGTCAGTTCAGCCTTAAACCCAAACCAGCAGCAGATTAGTCGTCTCTCAGCACCTCCTGACATCGCTCCTCCATCTGTGGCCCACAGGCTCGAAGACATGAACCTATTAAAACACTCGTCACAAATGTAGTGTGGTTTTTACCAGATAGGAGGAAACGCCGCGATGTGCTAGGGACTATTTTCAGTGGCGGATGAATCCACATTTGGTCTCTAGCGAGTGTTTGTGGCAGCAGGACGGTGTGTTTGTTTGCAGTGATGGGCACAGTGGCCTCAGTGTGAATGGACCTTCCTCCTCCAGCTGCTCCACAGGAAGCCGCAGACTGGGAAGTGAAAGTGTTGCAGATCTGACCGTTTGTGAGCAGAGAGCTGGCGTTGGCAGATCTCACAGCTGCTGACCCTTGGCTGTCGCAACAGTTAGCTGGGGGAGGCGAGGGCTGCATCCGGCCCCAGCCTCTGCACGCTGCTGACATCGGGGAGTATCGGACAGAAAGAGGATCTGCGGGGGGAGGACACTGGATGAACCCTCTCAGGAGGCCTCTGCTGTCAGATGTCTGACGACTCACAGGATCCTTCTGAATTCGTTCTTGAGTCTGTCTCAGCTTCGGTTCAAGTCCGATAAATCCCAGGTCCACACTGTTCACTATCAAGTCTTTGTTTCCTCAGTGTTTGCCGAGCTGCAGTGGAGACGGCAACAGAAACATTTGATTTGACGAACTCAGGCTTGTGTAGCAGGACAGTTCTGACACACGACTTGTTTCTTCTTTGTGAGCTGAAGTTTGTACATGGCTGCTGCTTTGTCTTCTTCCTGCTAAGAGAAGCAGACAGATTCAGGGTCATGAAAATGAAAGGACTGTGGTGCAGTCATCTGCAGAAACAACCCACACTGTGGCTTTTTCATCTCTTATTGTTTTGATCCTCCTGTTTCCAGAGAAGTGCTGGAAACGGTTTTCACTTTTTTTTTTTTTTTTTTTTTTTTTTTTTAGCTCTAACTTGTAAACTTTTTTGGTTAAAA